ATTCATTTATTCATACTAGATGACTCAGTCAGTCATTAAGTAAATTCCTTTTTTCAATTATCCATTCGTTCTTTCTTCCACTTACTTGTCTCCTGGCTCATATACATTAATGCCCAAAGCATCCACCCCCATCAGCAGCTTTGTACCCTTTCTATTCTTGATCTCAAAATAATTCACACCATACATTTCAAGATCCTGGCAGATTTTCAGATATTCCATCATCGCTTCATCTCTGAATCATAGAAAATAAAAATAGGGAAAAACAAGTCAATTTTCTGTGTTAGCTGGCACTTCAAGGGGTTTACTGGCTGACATCCTTAAAATGGAGTTATAGGATCGTAAAATGTGAAAAGGTTATAATTAGTTAGAAGGAAATTAGTCAGCAGGAAGTTTGAATTTACTAAGTTTGCATTTGCTGATTGCAAATGACCAAAAAATTTAAGTCAAATCCATAGGAAATTGACACTCTAAGTTAACGAAGAGTTTAAGTTGACCATAAGTTCAAGTTTTCTGATAGTAAATCACTGAAAAATTTAGGTCAAATCTATAGGAAATTTGGAGACAGTTTGAGTGAGGAGCTTGGGTTACTGTGCGCACACTGCAACCAGGACCACTTTGATAAACTAGTATCATTAACCAATCATATTGAGACATTAACTTCAATATTCTTTAACCAACCAATCAGATAGCACATTGAAATAATAAGAGCGTGAGAACATGATAATTTGATGGGCTAACACTGTTATCAGTTCAATCTCCATCTAGTTTACTGTTATCTGATTGGTCAGTTATATTCAAGTGTCCCGGTTAGTAAGTCTGCACAGTAACTGAGTTACCAGGGGCCTACTGTAATACGTACTTTGGCATATCTTCATGCTCTTTCCAACATAGGGCAATCTTGTTGACCCATTCTTCTGTTGATAACTTGTGCTTATCCAAAACCCTTAACAGTACAAACATTCATCATTTGTTAAAAATATAATAATACAGATACACATATAGGCCAATCTTTGTTTACGTTTTTTCCTATTAGCATWAAAAAAATCAAGCTATGAGCAAACCGACTCCAGAAATCGAAAGAGAATGTCTTATTTAGTTACTACTGAAAATTTGAGAGCAACATGTTAATTTTTTTGGGAGTAAAATTTTTTTGAAAACACTATAAATTAATATATTATATGGTTGTGTCGCAACATGACCATACATTTCTTTGCAAATCATACCGCTTTCAAAAAAAATTTACTCCCAAAATATTGAACATATTAATCTCAAATTTTCAGTAGTTACTAAATAAGACATTCTCTTTCGATTTCTGGTTTGCTTGTAGCTTGAATTTTTTTAATGCTAATGAGGAAAAAACGTAAACAAAGATCAGCCTATAGACAGACAAGTGGACAAATTATCTGCTAGCATACTGATTGCAGACAATGATGCTAATGAAGAAAAACGTAAACAAAGATCAGCTTATAGACAGACAAGTGGACAAATTATCTGCTAGCGTATAGACTGCAGACAATGATGTTAATGAAGAAAAACGTAAACAAAGATCAGCCTATAGACAGACAAGTGGACAAATTATTTGCTAGCGTGCTGACTGCAGACAAATCAGTCAAAAGAAGCTGGCAGACAGGTATATACAGAGACAGGCAAACAGACTTCAATAAACAATAAACTAACCCCTGTGGAAGAAGCTTGTCTTGCATTAGCTCCTTTTCTTTTGCTTCTTCATGGTCTCCATGCTTTACTTGGCACTAAAAAAAACATTCAATAGCTCATGATCAACACATTAAGTTCTTGACTATTTCTTTTAATGTTTTAATGGGGGAAGGGGAGAGTGAAACCTTGAATCTTCGATGATAGCCAACTCAGGGTCAGGGCATGGCTAACTCACAGATTGAACCCTAAAACAACCTCTGGGCTGATCTA